ATATTTTATATAAATATAAATATATGAATATTATATTTATATATATATATTTATCTATTTATATATTTTATATTTTAATATAATATAATATTTAATATTTTTTTTAATAATTCATTTTTTGTTACTACAATATAAAACCTATCTTTTATTCCTTTATATAATAATAATTATCTTATAATTATTTTAATAATTTATATATTATTTCATTTTATTTTTAATTTTTAATTATTGATAAATGTCTATGATTGTATTTATGAAGGAATACACATAATTAAATATTATTAATATTTTTTTATTTATAATTCTTGTTGTAATAATCATATATAATTTTATATATAATAAAGCTATTTATATATATATTTTTGTTTTTTCTTTTCTTTTCAGAAATTCTGTTTTATTTTATAAAATAAAAATCTTTATATAAAAAGTATATATATAAATTATTTTAATTACCCTGAAAAATATTTTTAATTTTTTATTATTATTTAAGTATTTTTTTATTGAAAATAAATAAAAATACTAAAAAGTAAAGTTTAAAGTTATTCTAAGTTTTAATTATTTTTTATTTATTCTTATTATTTATTTTTTATTATTCTAATAATTATTTAATACATTTTTCTTTATTAAATAGAAAATAATTGATAAAAAAAATACAAAATTATATATAATTTTTATTCTTAATAAATAGTGCACAAAAAAAGAATACAAAAAAATAAAATTCTATATATTTTTATGAGTTAGCTAACATATATATTAGTAGTTTCTACTATATATTAATTAATATAAAGCAAATGCTTTTACAAAAAATAAAAGCAACAGAAGGTTAAACTGTAAATTATATAGACGATAAAAATTGTTTTTAAGCATGTTTACCGTGTTATGAGTTTAATGAAAATACAATATTATTTAAATAAATTACAGAGTTATAAAAAGTAGACTAAAATAATGAATTAGGAGAATAAATTAAAAATTTTTAAGGTTGTAGAGAAGAAGCTATAAAAACATTAGAAGAAGGAGCTGATTGTTCTCAAGTTTTTATTGCTTTTTGTTAATGTAATGAATATGAAAATTAATAATTAGTAAAAATAGGAAAATAAATGTGTAAATGTATTAAAAAGGCTATAATGTTTTCAAATATAAATTAATTTTATACTACATTATTATTTCTTTTATAAATTTTTATTCTGTGAAAAAAAAAGGTGTTTTTATTAATTTTTTGTTTTAAAATATTTTGAATTAAATAAAAAAAATATATAAAAAAATTTTAAGATAAGAAAAAATATTAAATTTTTTTAAAAAATAAAATTTTAATATTTAATATCTATCTGTTTATAATGAATTAAAATATAATATTATTTTATTTTTTTAAAATACATATATTTTTGTATATATATATATTTTATATTAAACATTAATTATATATTTATATCTTTTTATTTATTGTTAAATATTTTATATTTAATAATTATTATATATATTTTTTTTTAATTTTATTAGATATTATAAATGTGAAATTATTTTCAAATATTAATTTAATTTGTTTAAACTTTTTATTATTGAAATATATTTTTAAAATAATTAATAATTTATAAATTTAATATTTATATTAAATTATTTTATTTGTAGATTTAAAAAGTTTTATAATGTTATAATATAAAAATTAAGTTTTGATTATATTTTTATTTAAGAATTAAATATTAATAATTTATAAAATAAATATTATTATTTATTTTTATATTTTATATACAAATATAAATATACCCTTTTAGATTTCTATATTTTGATATATAAATTTGTAATAAAAGGTTAATTATTAAATTTTCATATAAAGAAGTAAAAAAATAATAAAAATAAAAATATTAAAATAAAACGGTATAAAAATGCTTGTAGATAAAGGCGGTAAGTATGGAAAATATAAAAGAATATTTAAATATAAGTATTAAAAAAAAATATTAAATATGTATTATAAATAAAAAAAATTAATAAAATATAAATCATATACTTATTAAATTAATTTAAAAATAAATATAATAAATAGTAAAAATAAATAAATTAAATCAAATTGTTTGATATATAATAAAAAGATATTATAAAAATTTAAAAATAAAAATAAAACTAAAAATAAAAAAATATATAAATATCTAATATATATATATTTACATATTATATATATATTTATATTTATATTTATATTTATATTTTTTTTTTTTTTTAGTGTCTATTTATACTTAAAAAAATTTTGGTATAATAATATTTTTTTTTTATATATAATTATAGATAAAATTACTAATTAACATTTAAAATTTTTTATTTCATATATCTTATTTTTATTTTTATTTTTATTTTTAATTAAATAAAATAAAAAATAAAAATATTATTATTTAACCTTCTTTTAAAATATATTATATATTTTTAATATTTTATAATTAAATTTGTATTCAATATAATTTTTATGTATTCTTATTTTATTTTTATTTTTATATAAATATTTTAATTTTCTTTCTATTACTTTAGTTTTTTTTTTTTTTTATTATTATTATATTAATTTATTTTAATGCATTTTTTTTTTTTTTCTTTTATTTTTTTAATATAAAAAATTAATATTACACAAAAAAATTTTATTACATTTTTTTTTTATTATAATTAAATATTATTAATTATTTTTTATATAGATTATATATATAATCAATTTTTTTTTTCAACAAAATTCTATTTATATATTTTTATAATTATATATTTATATACATATGATAATTATTTATTATCCATATAATTATTTTTATTTGTAAAATATTGTTTTTTATGTTTTAATTATTTATAAATATTTTTATGTATATTAATTACTATATTATTTTGATTATAAATGTTTATATTAAAATCAAAATTTACTTTTTTATTATAATATCTTTTATTTTAAATAAAATATATTTATAATATATTAAATAATATTTTTAACAAATATATATATATAAAGATAATATTAATATTTATTTTTAATTTAATTTATAAATCTAATAAAATATTTTCAATTTTAATGAAAAATTTGCATTTCTTAATCTTATTTACTAGTATTTTTTTTTTGATATGGTCATTAATAATAATTTTTCCTTATGCAAATTAATTAAATATTTATTCAATAGTAGCTTGCTTCAAAGAATATTCAGATATTTTTAATTATTCTTTATTTTTTTCAAAAGAACCAAAAATTTTACCAATAGTTACATTTGTTTCTATTCTATATCTATAAAAATCGCCTAAATGTTCAATAACTTCAAATTTACCAAATTACTATAATTTTTAATAAATAAAAAAAATATAAAATAAATTACTTAGTCTAAAAACATCTTAATTTAAATACCTTGTTTTTCAACATATATAAATTCAGATAAATTATCAAAAGTAATACCTTTTAAACTTTATAATTCCTATTTTATAAAATTAATATTTGTTGTATATAAAATTATATTATATTTATATTTATATTACTTTATAAATAACAGATCCTGATTGATCTTCAGAAATCAAATATTATAAATCCATAGCATTCAATTTACTTAAAATATTGGGTAAATCATTAATTAATATTTTATCATTTTATTATAATCCTGTTTTTTAACATAAAGAGCTTTTATGCTCAACTGAAGGACTTTTTAATTTTAACTTCTACTTACATATCCTTTACCAAACTTATGCTTAATTTATTAAATAGTACCTAAACATTTTAATTATCCATCTACTTAAATAGCCATTTTAGAAGATAATTGCTCAGCTTCTTCCATTGAATGAGTTGTTAAGATAATGGAAGAATGTTT